GGGCCAGCAGAAGGGGAAATTTCCATAGTTTCCCTCAAATTATGCAATATTAGTAGCAACTAATTCTTCTAGACCTGGGTAGAGAAATGCTTTAGATTAGCTGATCTTTTAGAACACTACTCTCTCTCTCCAGTAGATTCACTTGCCCATGGGTGTGCACACCTAGGGTAGAGATTTTGAACAAACAGGTCTGGGTGACATTCCGCAGCCTGCTTAAGTGATTGCTTATGTGAACAACTTAAGGGACACTGATGAAGACTGAGGGTCCCAGGCACCTCGCTGGGCTGCCATGCTGCCTGCAATAAGCATCGGTTGAGTAACTTCTTTGAGCACAACAGTTCAATCTTAATGGGAAGAATAACATTAACCTATGAAAACCACTTGAAATAATTTGATTGTTTAGTTTTTAAAATTAGCTTACAGTCATCTAGAGTTAATGGGGCACAAAATAAATATGTTTAAGGGGTGAAGAAGGAAGTTTGGGAAGTTGTGTATTATCAGAAAAAGTGCTGCAAGAATTCCTGACCAGCACTGAAAGCACAGGGATAGTGGCTTTCTTGAGAGAGTAGTGCCTAATTAATTAATTCAATGTTTTGCTAGTCTCCTTCTGATGAATTCAATTCAGTGATGTGTTTCTCTCAAAAGAAGTCTTAAGTTTGGTGTGGTTGTTCTCCTAGTCCCCTTCTCCTCCTGCTGCCTTTCTTTTAGTTTCTCAGTTTTATTTCTCTAACATAGTTTATGTTCTGGTGATTTTAAACCTCAAAAAATAGTTTGAACATGGAACAAAGTAAATGTCTTTGGTTGTACAAATTGTAAATACTTCCACATAACAAATGAGATGCTTTCATATTTTGTGTTCAAGTTAGATGTAAGCTGTATAATAAAATATAGTAATTTGAACATATAACATCCTTGTTTATACAACTGAGCTCTAAAGTTTGATATATACAGAAACAGGTCTTAGCTGAGCAAAGCCTTTATTTTGGTTTGTTTCTGGAATATGACCCCCTCCTGTCTGTGTATTTTGGGGGCCTGAATCTGACTCTCAAATAAACTCCAAAAAGGAGAAATATGGTAGCAGAAGAAAGTTAACTTCTCTGGAACCATTACCTTAATGATCTTCCTTTAAGTGCTATCTAATACATGACCTCCAAAGACTGAAATGTACTACAGGCTTTTTAAACAACAATGAGTATTTCTAGTTTAGTATGGCAAATCAGAAATGCTGGTTCATGACCCCAGCTCCCAACCCCAACAATTTCCCTTGACTTCCAGTTATGATATCTGTGAATGTGTACATGAAAGACCAAAACTGGTATAACTCTAAGAAGTAAAGATAAACAAAAAAATGCATCAAAAATTTAGGTGAAATGAACAGTAATTGTAGTTTTTGCAGCAGAGTAATGATCCTGAGTAGAAAAGATAGGGCCAAAAGTCATCAGGACTCTCATATGCCCAGTATCTATGCCTGACTCTGAAAAGAGTGTCGGAGCCCAAGTCATGCAGTCTTTAATTTGGGCCATCTTGTGGATTTTCATATTTATGTAAAGCACATGGAGAACCTATTGAAGAGTTTTCAGCAAGATAGTGAATTATCCTTTGAAATTATCACAAGGACTGCAATATAGAGAGTTAGTTTTATAAAACAGAAAGAATGTGTTCAGGGCCAGTAATAGATTGGGGAGGATGACAGTAATGGAGACTGGGATGAATAGAGAGATTTAGGCAGTATCTACGAGTTGGTAAAATGGAGAACCCTTGAAGATCAATTAACTGTAAGTGGTGGCTGAATAAGAGAAGTAAAAGAAAATAAACATATTTTTATCTAAATGCTACAAAAATTATTTAATTCAATCCAATATCCCTTCCATTGAGCAAGGAATAGAAGCAAACTATAGAAAATATCAATCTTAAAAGAATAGCCAACCTCATATCATACAATATAGTCTTAATTCTAAAATGCCTGTTATGTCAGTATTTAGTGTTTCTGAAATCAAATGTGCCCTACAATCACTGGAAAATTAACTTACTGTCCATCAATCAGAAGACTGTCATATATTATTCATTGAATAGAACAAATCTATTTTTGAGGGAGATTACTCAGCCTCTGCCTATTTCCTTTTATAGTTGAGAAAGACAAGATCCCCTGTCTGAAGTCAGATGCTCATCCATTAGTCTAAGCTTACCTTCTTCCTATCGTATTTCAATTCTTCTGTTTAGTGAAGTCAGACAGAAGTAGATTCACATTCCACATTTACTCCTTGTTATTTATATCACCCTAACAAGATAATGTAATCTATCAGAACATCAGTTTCATTATTTTGTAGCAGGGATGGGTAAACACCAAAACACCTAGGGGTTATTTTGCTGTTTGGGAGGAATACATGTAAACCTTATATTAGATAACTGTCATATAACTAATGAATTGTAGCTGTTCAATAAATGGCAGTTATTTCACCAACGTGCTCCTCCATTATATGATGGAAACTTTTGTGCATCATATAATAGTATAAATAATATGAAGTCAAATTAAAATCAAGTTAATATATATCAAACTCTCATCATCACCTCACAGTTTTTCTATGAAAATTTCATTTTTGGATTGCTTTATTCTAATAATTGTTGTAGAATTTCAATCATTCTTTGATGGCCTTCACCTTACTACAATTCCAACATCTGCTCTGTTGCTAAGTTTTAGTGATTAGATCTCTAAACGACTGCTTATATTTGTCACTGCATTTCCATTTTCATTTATTTTAATTCAAGATACCGGCAACTTTAAATAACTGTAGTAGACACTTAATGAGTTTCCCACTTGTATACTCTCATTATTCCCTGCCAGCATCTTTTCTTCCACCTGTGGCCTTAGTTTTCTGTATATATCTCAAAACCTTCAGGGGTTTCCAATAAACAGTCAAACTCATCACTTAAGCCCTTCCATGTTTTGCTTACATTCAATCCTTACAGTCTATTTTCCCACTATCCTCCTACAAAGACGTCACAGGTCAGTGACCCCAGACTACCAGCTGCCTCACAAACACCCTGAATTTTTATCTACTTGAGTCTTAGCTCATATTTTCCTTCTGTTAGACATCTCTTGTCACTAAAATCACTGACTGAAATCCAATTCTTAGCTGAAATGCCAGTTCCTCTATGGCAATTTTTTCTTAATTCAACCCACTTGAATAAGTGAATAAAATCCTGTCTTCCTCTGAACTGCCACAGCACTTCAGGCTTCACATATACCCCTTCACTTACAGATATTTGCATGGTGCTTTTATAACTTATGTAATATCTCTCCAACCCAGGATTATTATGATACCTGCAATTACCCTAAAAAGTTAATCCTTCTGTGCCTCTTCAAAAATAATATTTTTAGGTAAGTTTTATAACTTACCTAAAGTTCCATTTATTTGGAAAAGAGCACAAGTGTTGCATGGGAAGTGGACAGAGGTAACCCATCACTATGCAAACTATTCTCTCTAGAAATTCACCCCCGGAACCCAAAATTATATACAAACAACAGATAATACACTTACCTTAAAAATTATTTTAACAAGAATCTATTATTGTTTAAGTATCCTCCCTTGGGGTATTTCTCATACTTATTGAAGAGGAAAACTTTCTTTTTCTTACTCCTCATTAGGTTCATGGCTGAGGCACCCATAATCAAATACAGATTAATAAGATAAAAGCATACAAATTTATGTAATATGTTTTATGTGACATGGGAGACTTCATAAGGGGATGAAGACTCAAAGAATCAGAGAAACTTGTATATTTTTATGCTAAGTTTGATTTAAAAAATGTTGACAGTTGTGGAGAAGTGTGATTGAACAAAATGCGTTGTGATCTAACGGTAATAAGCTGGGAGAAAGTTAGCAAGGCCTGTTTGTTCGGATTCTTCTCTGTGTTCCTATGACTTCAGAGATAAGGAAGTTCTTTTCCTTGGGATGTGGGGTGGACACCTCACACATGATAATCCTATTATTTACTCAGAGGGTGGTCAGAGAACTGTTTCATGATCTGCTCTCAGAAAGAAAGGGTGAGGGGAAGGGGAGAGAGACCATCCTGCTTCTGCTGTTTTCTCAAATACCAAGATGCCATATTTTGGGATCCTGAATTCCATCACCCTAAACCTCAACTGTCCTATCAAAATGGTTCCTCCTACCACTTATATTCTTTTGTATAGGAATTTACAGTAAACACGTTTTCTTTATTTTATTACATTTATTATAATTGTGATGCTATTGTATACCAATGATATTTTAGTACTCTTTACAGATGTGTGTCCTGAACAAGTGCCTAGCTGTCTTATTTCTACTATATTTTGACCTTTGAGGAACTCTCAGGTCCTGGAAACAATCATTGCAAAAAATATCTCAAGCCTTTGAAGTAAAATAAATTATGTCATAAGTAATTATGTTTTTCATTTCTACCAACTTAATAAATACCTATTCTGAGAAAAAGAAGATGAGTTTAGTAAACATCTGAATAAAATATCCAATGATAAAGAATGATGGAAGAGAAAACCAATTTAACTTTGATGAGTGCCAATTTATCCCCTTCCTTACCAAGGTATAGACCACGCTTGGTATACCTCCTCATTTTGGCTTTATTATACTCTGTGGCAGATAAGTTTCTGCTCATGAACTATTAATAATTCCAATGTTACATATAAATAATCAACTATTCTGAATTTTTTTAAACACGCACACATACTAAAGATGTTTGTTTTAATTGGCGTATTCAGTATTTGTGGTATGATACAAGGATGAAAACAGCTCAAATTAGTGACTCTCTCATCTCTCATTTTGACAGCACCTTTTTCAAAGCACCAGTATTAGCCACTTAGAAAGTGGATTGATGCCAATGCTCAGAGCACTACTTCTTCCTTCAGCACACCAGATGGTACTAAAAATTCAAAATATTTCCTACAACAGCTGTATCTTTGACAACAAAATTAATACCAGCCAAAATACCACTGCTATGTGAAAGACATAATGATCAGGCTCTTCAGTTTAATATAGCTAGCCATATTCTAGGGTATGATAAGAAACAAACAACAACAGCAAAACAAAACAAAATCAGGATCTGATCAACTCTTGCTAGATGTCCATCAGATGTTCTGTGTAGTATCAAACACCAGAAGCACAGCCCCCAATCCATTCATCATGGAACAGCTGCTCCTCTCAGAATGTGAATTACACCTTCCCCTGAAGCAACCATTAATCCATTAGCACATTTTCACCACTAAGCTTTCCCAAAGAGCATCATATTTTTATTTTAAACTCGTCTTTGTTTGAGGAAATAAATCTTTTAAGGAGGATTTGACTAGAAATTAATCTTGAAACTTCTCTAGATTGAAATAATACCTTTTTTCTTATAAAATTAAACGAATGTTTTGAGAAAGATGAAAATTTTACACCTGGTTTAAAATAGTTTGAAATATTTGTAACAGCTGAATGGAACCTACACATCTGACGTGTACATTGTCACAAAAAAACTTAAATAGAATATGAATTTGAAAAAGAAACAGAAGGTAGATGTCGATGATGAGTATTAGTCTAAGTGCAAAGATAATTAATGTAAGGTGTTAATAAACACCTTACAGGAAGATGGAATAATAGTTACAAGAATATAATTCTTTTTCTTCACTTCAGTGTACAAAATAACATACTAGGTATTTATCTCATTTATAGTTGTAAGAAAACAAAGAAAGCAAATTTCTAAGCTTTAAAAGTAATAAGGTGGATACCGTCAGCTTTTCAAGAGTTTTGCTTCTACAAAAGACTAATTGTTTGGTTATTTTACATAATGATCTGCCTTTATGAGTTTAAAATATAAATCTCACCTGAAGTAAGAAAATATTGTTATGGTGGAATCCATTATTTTATTCTAACTTCTGTCTTAGGATCTAAAGAGAGAGGTTTACTGAGGTACTAACAATGTATATATTAGAAAAATGTCTTTATGTGCATTTTTGGTCATTAATAATCAAAGAAATCAGACTTCCTCAGATATACTTTTAATAATAATTAGCTTACTAAAACGTTGATTCAAATGTGGTACTAGCTGAAGCTGCTTGCAATTACAGAAATTTATTGGTAAAATGCACAGGAAAAAATGTAAAGACTTACAGAGAAAAGGAATGACCCACCCTTCCCGCCAACAAATATTGTTTCCTGTGGATCTATATGACACTTTCTTTTCAAGGTTTTGAGAAATCCATTGGTGAGGGAAACACCAGCCTTTCTGAAAAGCACTTTAGTGGATTTTTGTTTTCAGAGGTATTAGTAGATGCTGCATTTGCATTGGGCTCCCTAATTTTAGTGACGGTAGTAGGATCCCTGGATGGTGGCGGCCTAGAGGTACCTAAAGAAAAGAACAGAGGATGCAATTAGTAGAGAAAAAGCATAACCAGCATGGTAAATCAAAAGAGTTTGACCCGAAGGAATATTTGCCATGGCTAATAGATTACAGGTTTCATAGAAATAAAATAGATCGATAGACCATTGTATTAGATTTTCATGGTTGTCAAAACAAATTACCACAAACTTACTGGCTGAAAACATTCACCATCTCATCGCTTTGTTAGTTCAGAAGTTCGAAATGAGTCTCCTTGGGTTAAATCAAGGTATTGCCCAAGTTGCATTTCTTTCTGGAAACTCTAAGGGAATAATATTTTTTTTGCCCTTTCCAGATTCAAGAGGACAACTATATTCTTTAGCTCATGGTCTCTTTGTCCCTTTTCACAGCCAGCAACAGTGGGTTAATTGTTATCACATCACATCTCATTGCCCTGACCTCCTCTTGTCCCTACCTCTTCCACATGTAAGGATCCTTCCAATTACATCAGACATGCCTGGATATAGTCCAGAATAATTTTTCAGTTTTAAGTTAAGCAGATCATATTATGTAACTTACAAATGTAGCTTAAATGATTACTTTTAAGTTAAACTTAATTCCATCTATAAACATTATTCCCTTTGCCATGTAACCTACCATATTCGGAGTTCCTAGGCTTGAGATTATGGGAGTCATTATTCTGCCTATTACAATGACTAAAGTCATCCTTTATATGTAAAACCTAAATACTTCCACCTCAAGCAAAGAGAGGTTTAACCAGCACAATAAAGAATGTTGTACACTTAGTCAGCTTTCATACCTGACTTAGTTCAAATGCATAAAGTCCCTTAAGTAAAGGGGTAAGATAGTTACCACCAAAGCAGGACTTAGGATATTCAGGAAATAAAATAGAATTTTGAACTGAGCTAAATATACATTACACAGTCCATCATGCCCAGTTTGACTCTGAACCAATACTTTGGTTCTTCACTCAATTCTTGAAGGTATGTTTGGCAATGATATTTCCAGTATTTGCAAGTCTCATTTGACTGTATGTTTAGTAAGAACTTCATTAAAATGAAGGATCAAGTGGAAATCCTTTGAACTTCTCTGCCTTAGCAAAAGAGTAAGTAAAAAACCAATATTGTATCCCTGATGGAATTATGAAGCTTAAAGCCACCAGCAAAGACAGCTGGAAAGATACAAGGGTGTCAGTCTCTATAGTATCCTCTTTTAACTTTCGAATTTACATCATATAAAAGACAAATTTAACTAGGAGAATAACAATGGATTATCAAAGGCTAATCGGGTCATGACTTTTGAGAAAATCAATATATCTCTGGCAAATGACATACAGCTGAGATGGCCAATCCTATTTTTTTCTTAAATAGCATGCTTTTACTTGGCAGAGAAAACAGTATACTTTTATCATCTTGTTCAAGATTATATCAGCTTTGTGACCTAATTTACTCTTCAGTATCTTTCTCTACTATCCTACAGGGTATCATCATCGGTTACCTATACTGATAGGATTTTCAGAGAAGAATTCTAAATGCCTCTCTCTCTCTCTCTCTCTCTCTCTCTCTCTCTCTCTCTCTCACACACACACACACACACACACACACACACACACACACACACACGTGCACACACACACACATATATATATATGTGCCAGAGAGTAGGAGGAAAATACAGATTATTCACCCCAGTGATGTTTCCATAGATCAGGGCCAGATGGTACATATTTTAGGATTTGAAGTGAAAGGTCAATATCAAAGACATTATGTAGGTACCCATGGCTTAACAGTGAGCCCTTCAAACAGTGCTCACAGGCTGTCAAAAAGCAGGTGGCAGGCTAGATTTGACCTGCAAGCTACAGTTTTCCAACCTCTAGTCTATATCACTGAAGTATATAAAGACATCCACTTCAAAACTAGGAATTTGTTCCTGTGTCTTATTTTACTAAGAGAGAGACATAGTAATTGGTATTTTATTTGCATTTTAGAGTTAAGATATATTACATCTAAGAGTTAAATATTAATCTTTGGCTTGAAAGTCTGCCAGTGTTGATTGGGTTCATAGAATGAAAAAGTGTTCCATTTAGTTCAGGCTGCAATGAATGCAGTTCTGCAACTCACCTGACACAGTGATTTCAAGGTTTCTCAGAATGTTTTTAGCAGATTAAAGTCCATGTGATCAAGGTCGAGCATAGGAGCAAGTTAAGAAAAAAGAAAGAAAAAGAAAGCGAACCAGTAGAAGGATGGGAGTGGAGAGCCCCGCCCTTATTTCAGAGCACACCCTTATTTTTATTTTTGGCAACTGTTTACTTTTAAAAAACTGTAACTTGGTTGACATTGAAAACTAGGTAATCATGTAATCCAAGATGCCCAATATGAACTAGATGTTCTCTAACCTACATAGACATAAAGTCATTCCAAGCAGTACTACAGCAACAAGTGGAAGTGGAAAAATGGGACTAGATCTACTGTTTCTGTAGAAGAAAATCAGTTGCATAAACTAGTTGCTTATACTGTTGCTTTCCTATATGTGCTGTTTTGCCAACCCATTTCCAATGATGAGATGACTGATAAAATTAAGAAAAAAAAATTTTACTTATTTTACAAATACATTTTCATGATGCTCTGGCACGAGCTTAAAAGGGTCTATGGATGCATTGGAGCCCCATTAAAGTGTGTCCATAGTAGATAGCAAAGAAAGGATATTTGCCCAGCATTAAAAAAAGTCAAGAGAAAGATCTTATTTTTCTCTTAGAGTGGAAGGAGAAATGATGGTCCAAATCAAAGACACATGAAAATCTTGTCTGTAACGAATGAATTTTCAGAAACAGATATGGAACTAAAATTTATAGAATGGTCTTAGAATGTATTACATGAGAATGCCCACAAAAAAGCTCACGGACATTAACAAGCTCTGTAGATATCCTTGCGCTTCATTTCATAGATGTTGCCAATACATGTTTGATGAGTTCAAAGCAATGTGGCAGGTGAATGGTAAAACTGTATGCATTGTAGTCTGGACTGAATGGAGCTCATTTTGCTCAGGACCCCATCAAAAGGGGCAGGCTTTTAGGTCAAAGGTAAAGTGCTATATTTATTTATACCTACATGTAATACACATTGCCTCCAAAATGCAAAGAGGTTCATCTATTATTATGTCTCTTAGTAGCAGAGTGACTTGATGAAAAGGGTCATATTCTCACGTATAAATGGTTTGCAAGAACTTGTTAATAGAGTTGCTTTCACCAAGATTCACTCAGCTACTGCCATCACTGACTTCTCAGTTTTCAAGTAACAACAATCTACCTCGAGTTCCCATTATCTCAGGACAATTAGTTAGTTACCTGATGGTTGGTTTATTATAATAAACTGATTTTTTTCATGGGTGGAAGTATCTATTCCAATTTGATCTCATTCGAAGGCATTTATTCTAGACATAAATTTGCTTTTCCTATCATACTTCTTCCTAGCATCATTATAAGTAAATTTCACTAATGGTTTATATGCCATCATACCCCTCACCACATGTCTTCTCCTCACTGTACAATTAAAGAATCAAAGCCTAGAGCTAATGCCCTTAAATTTATAGCTCTTATGAAGACTCCACTTCCCAGAAGTTGCTGGGCTTACAGAATGGTTGAATGCTTTGTAAAAGGCTTATTTATCCCACCATCTGGAAGCAATGCCTTGTAAGGCTGGAATGCTGTCCTTTAGGAAATGGTAAATGTTTTAAACCAATAACCAATAGTGCTATTTCTTCGGTAGACATAATTTAGGAATCTGAGAATGCAAAGGTGGACATAAGGAATTCCTCACTATGATACCAAACAGCCCACTCACAAGATGTTTTTGTTTTCTATTCCCAAGATTCTTGGCCCTGTTGTTTTATATTTCACCAAGTGACACAATAATGATTATATTCAATTAGAAGAGAAAACTGCCAACTTATTATTTTGGGATTTTTTCACACCATTGAGTGAATAGACAAAACCAGATTTCTGATGTTTTTTGGGGTCATTGATCCTTATTATCACGGGGAGTTGGGATTGCTACTATTCAGTAAGGGCTGGGAGGATTATGGATGGAAAACAGATAATCTCTGGGATAATTCCTTTTATTGTTATGTCTGATACTAACAGTTGAAGAATATTACATAGGGTTGGCTCTTCAGCCAACTGAAATGCATGTCAAAGTTAAAGGACCCTGAAATATAAAGTAGAAAAGGGGAGTCAAATATGTAGCTAAGACCTACAAGAAACTGTGGGAGTGATTATTGTAGTCACTTCTTGTATGCATGTGTGTATTTACCTGTATATATGCATCATACATGTAGCTAGATATATGTAGATGTATATGTGCTTTTATGTGTGTACATACTTTATACAACATATGTGTTTATAGTATATGTGTGTATATACATATAGTGTGTGTGTGCATACACATATCTTTACAATTTTTTTCTCTATATCATTACTATATATAGGGTATAGGGTATACCATTATTGTATACAGAGTATTAGAGTGGTCTTTCTTTGTATTTATTTATTTCAATAGGTTTTGGAGGAACAGGTGGTGTTTGCTTGCATGAATAAGTTCTTTAGTGGTGATTTCTGAGATTTTGGTGCAGTCATCACCTGAGCAGTGTATGCTGTACTCAGTGTGTAGTCTTTTATCCCTAACCCCCTCCCACCCTTTTCTTTGAGTCCCCGAAGTCCATTGTATCATTCTTATGCTTTTGTATCTTCATAGCTTAGCTCCCACTTATGAATGAGAACATACGATGTTTGGTTTTCCATTCCTGGGTTACTTCATTTAGAATAATGGTCTCCAATTCCATTCAGGTTGCTGCAAATGCCATTCTTTCATTTCTTTTTACAGCTGAGTAGTATTCCATGGTGTGTGTGTGTGTATGTGTATGTGTGTGTATCACAATTTATTTTTCCAAGAGTAGTCATTAACTTTATAATTTTTTCATAGGTAGTAAGATATTGAATATGATATTGAATCAGTATCTTGACTGAATATTGACTGAATATATTGAGGATAAATATATATCATCCCCAAATTCTGAAGATGGAATTTAGTGCATCCCTTAATGAGAAATTGAGGTGCTCCATTTGTTAAGAGAGTAATGGAATGTTTGGATTTGTATGAGCAATGACTGTATTTTGTTACAAAGCAATAACTTTTTAAATTTGAATGATGAGGAAAAGAATGATCTTAATATCATGCTAGCATGAATGACAAAAATTTCTTGGCCGTTTACAGGAAGAGAGGAGTTAATTGTCTCCTATTATAGGGGCTAAAAGAGCTACATACTCACTTTTTTACATTCCTGTGCAAAGACCATGAAGAATCTTTTGGTAGCAGTGGTGGTGACAGAGGCCTTCAGATTCTAGGGACTGGATAACAGGAGTGTTCAGAGCTACAAGTGTGATGTCTTAGAACCAGCATCTGCTGCTCCAGGGATGTGAGCTGGCATCCAGGGCTCTGCAGTCGCAACCCTGTGGTCCTCCTGGCCTAGATGTGCGGCTTGATTTGGCTGAGCTTCTAACCACCCACCTTCCTTTTGATTTGGGGTTTAGTTCTCCAGCCTTCCACACAATTCTGGGTATCTTTCAAATCTTTTTAATAAATTGGTTTTTTATTCTTCAATAGGCCAAATCAATTTATGATAATTGTCTTAGGACCCTGTTGAGCATCACACTCTTTATTCAAAATGTTTTTTCCCAAATGTTATTGTCATCAGACTGAAATGCAAGAAAGTACACTTGGGTTGTTTCCCAGTTTTCTAGTATAGATTTTTATTTTTTACCTCACTGTACTGGTATAGTCAATGTATCATTTCTCTTTACTCAAAAGCTCCATTTTGTCTCACACTAAAAATTACTCAAAGAGGGAGGGATTTATGTAGCTCAAATTAGCTTCCTAATGTCATAAACAAGAAACATAAATTTTGAAGTCAAACAATCTGCTGAATATATCTGATGAAACATAAATCCACTCAAAGTAACAGTAGCTATTAACTTATATTTGGCAAATAGTGTATCTCTAATCACTTTTTTTCTGATTTCTGGAAGTCTAGATTCTTTATTAAAAGAAAAGCATCAGGAGGCTGAGGCAGGAGAATTGCCTGAACCCAGGGGGCGGAGGTTGCGGTGAGCCAGCCGAGATCGCGCCATTGCACTCCAGCCTGGGCAACAAGAGCGAAACTCTGTCTCAAAAAAAAAAAAAAAAAAAAAAAAAAAAAAAAAGAAAAAAAAAAAAAAAAAAAACAGTAAAAATGAATTCCACAATTTAGAACATTTTAAAAATGCATTGTTCCAGTAGATGGTCTGAGATTAAGCAAAACAACTACTCATTTCTGAAAATTCCTGGCAGAGTTTTTCTTTGAATACTGCTTGGAAATAAATAGTAGCTCTTCCTGTCATCTGCTCTAATGCCTTTGTTTCCAGGGTCACTTATTTGTTTTAACTGAGGCCTTAATTTGTTGTTATTGCAGGGGAGGAAGTTGTCAACATAAACCTATCTCTGGTATGAGTGACTATCAACTTTGTGAGGACCTCCTGATAGTATTACCAGTTTTGAGACCCAGGCCATTTTCATCATTGTAAACATAATTGTGTGATTTAAATCATTTTCCATGAACATGTAGGACCATCACTCTCAAATTTTATGAGTTTGTACCAGTGACACAAGAACAGTTTGAGCCCTTTTCAGCTGGAGGATAAAGTGCCCATGAGAGTAACACTTGCACACCTGCTCCCCATTCATCCAGACAACAGGCACTCTTTACAGGCTCTTTGGGGATTCAAGACAGAGTCCCAAAGGATAAGGTAAGAATGAAGACATGACTGTTTCTCACAGTGAATGGTATTTGATAGTGGATGTTCAGGAGAAAGATTAAACACACACACACACCCCGCCTCTTAAAAAAGCTCAACAATGAATGAATGCTCTCTATGTAATAATCATTTTTAGCATTACTAATTTAATAGGTTATACCTCCTATTACAAAAACAAAAAGGAAAATTCTGTTGGTCCCATAAGAATATGACCCCTAAGTGAGCAGAAGTCCATATATGGCACTATTGGATAAATTTTGCTTTACTTCAACAAATAAACTAACGGAAAACATTTTCATCAACTTTATTTTTACATATTTTATACTGTCTTTATTCCTGTGTTTAATCAGTTTTCTAATCAGTTGTTTTGACTTTGTTAGTATCTAAAGCAGATACACAAAGGATTACACAGTGTGTTGACAGATATGTTATAGGATGGGGCCCTGAAATAAAAAGTTAATGTCACTATGTCATTTCTCCTTCATTGATTTTTTTTGTAATTCTGTATGAATGTCTTTACTATGAAATAAACCTTTTGCGGGATTTCAGTTTTCTGTTCCTGAGACAAATATGTAATCAAATAACGATTAGAAGTAAATATTTTGCAGACTTTATATTTTAATAGACTAGGTAAATTTTATATTTCTGTGGTTTAACTGGCAACCACTTTAAACACAACAAAGGGGAAACCTTCATCGTCCAGGTAGACAGTGGTTGCTAAACTGGGAGGTGACTACGCACACCTTTCTCCAAGCCATTTTAAAATTAAATTCTGATAACAAACTTAGGAGGAAGGTATTATTGGCTACACCAGAAACAGACATATAAAAGATTAAATAATTTATCCAAACTCACAGAGCTAAGAAATGGCGGCGTCGATAATCAAATCTAGATGTATTTGACTACAAACATATGCTATTAATACTCTATCATTCTATCATATTGTCTCCCAGAAATATCTTTATTCCAAATTTAATGGACTTAATCATTCTTAAATTAAAATTTTTTAAAGCACAGTCAATAATAAACATAAAAAGTAAACTAAGAGAGGAAATTGGTATGTATTGAATGTCAAGGGCATTCACATCTGTTTTAACAGGTTGTTGTCTGGCCTGTGCAATTTAAATGTCACAAAAAAATTCTGAGATAAATAATGTTACCTTATTTTATAAATGGAGAAACTGAGGCTGAAACTGAGAATTTATTTTTACATGATTATACAGCTAATAAGTAGAAGACTTATAATTTGAACCTTGTGTACTTTAACTACAAAGACTGGGCTCTTTCCACTAAGTGGTACTATTTTCATTACTTTTCTAAAAGTAGGATGGAAGAATAATTTTGCACAGAGCTTCTATAGAACCAGTGAGTAGGGGACTGGAATAATTTCTTCAGTTTTCAAGGTTTTAAGGAAATGTTCAGATTTCAGGAAAAGGTTATAACAAACTCATAGGATGTGTGATATATTGTTTTTGTGTGTCTAAATTTGTTTTGTTCCAATGTGATCAGTGGTATGAGAATTCTAAAGTTAAGTGTTACAAGACTGAAGTAGAGAAATAAGAATACCCTAGTGCAGATACACAAATTGTAGTAGTGATATTACAAATGCATATTTTAAAATTTAGTATTAGATTTAGTGTTTACTGAGGACTTCCCACTTTCATATGATATTGCAATTAATCCTTACAAGTATTAAAGATGGGTATATTTATCAACAGTGTTTATAGACACAATGGAAAGAGAAAAATATGATTTTGAATGTTCAGTCTGGTAGATCACTGGCTTCATGGCTTAGGGGAGGAAGCTGTCCCTCCCAATAGAGAGCACTTCAAAGCTCACCTGAAAAAGGGCTGTAAAAAAATATAAAAATATAAAAATTGGTTCAAATTTTCAGAATGGTAGTTAGTTAACATATGGTCAAACATAAAAGATGAATTTCCATTTATACAGCAATCTGACTCTAAAAATTTAACTCCTTAAGAACTTAATCATACAAGGGCTAAAAAAATGCATATCAGTGTGAAAATTTATTAATCCAAAGGACATAATCATACCAATTTTGAAAGTAATCTCTTATCCTTTAAGAATAGGAACAGCTGGATAGAGGATATAATAACCTGTTCAAGTTGGTGGGGTGGGAGAGAAGGAAGACCAGGGTCACAAGGAGAAAGCCATCTGTCACATATTGGGAATCAAGTAGTAATTTGGGGATAAGAGGGCGAGCACAGAAGAACTGAAAGAGGAGCATGATGGAAAGTTGTAACCGAAACTTAAGAAATGACCAAGAATTTTCCAGCAATATGAACACATTTTATAAAAAGTAGACTTGTTTGCCTTGCTGTGATACAATTCCCATCATGCCCACACATCTTCAGTCTTACACAAATGGCTTTTGTATTTAGGAGTTTTGGCGTGGGTATTCAGGAAGACTTGGGTTCTGACTCTGAACAAGAGAGAGACAATACAAAGAGAATGATGAAGATGATCATTCAACCAAGTCACTGGGAACTCAACCCACTCTAATGATGAAAATAAGTACTTCCTATCAATACATAGAAATCTTTGGAGAGGCGTTGCACTGCCCATAATTTGGGCAATAGAAATTCAATCAGTTATCTCTAGATCTTAAGATGAAGGTTGATTCTTATTGACCTTTCATTATAGAGTATCCACAATGGGTGGTAATCATGTATATTTTTTTAGACTTAAAAAATTTGAAATTTCCATTCAGCTGGACTGGCAAAGTTATACATGGTACATATTTTAAATTCAATGATCTATTGTTGACATATCTGAAAGATTTTAGAGTAAAAAAATTAAGTTAGAGAACTACATTTATGATTTCATCTGATGTAAAAATAATTCTGTAAACTTATCTATATGTGAATATATACATGAATAGATGGCCAAAAGGTGATTTGTTGAAATTTTTTTTCCCATTTATTTTATTGCATTTTAGGTTTTGGGGTACATGTGAAGAACATGCAAAATTGTTGCATAGGAACACACGTGGCAGTGTGATTTGCTGCCTTCCTCCCCATCACCTACATCTGGCATTTCTCCCCCTGCTATCTCTCCCCAGCTTCCCACCCCCCACCGTCCCTCCCCTATTTCCCCCCAACTGACCCCAGTGTGTAGTGCTCCCCTCCCTGTGTCCATGTGTTCTCATTGTTCAACACCCGCCTATGAGTGAGAACATGCGGTGTTTGATCTTCTGCTCTTCTGTCAGTTTGCTGAGAATGATGGTTTCCAGGTTCATCCATGTCCCTACAAAGGACCCAAACTCATCGTTTTTGATGGCTGTATAATATTCCATGGTGTATATGTACCACATTTTCCCTATCCAGTCTATCGTCTATGGGCATTTGGGTTGGTTCCAGGTCTTTGCTATTGTAAACAGTGCTGCAATGAACATTCGTGTGCACGTGTCCTTATAGTAGAACGATTTGTAATCCTTTGGATATATACCCAGTAATGGGATTGCTGGGTCAAATGGAATTTCTGTTTCTATGTCCTTGAGGAATCGCCACACTGTCTTCCACAATGGTTGAACTAATTTACACTCCCACCAACAGTGTAAAAGGGTTCCTATTTCTCCACATCCTCTCCAGCATCTGTTGTCTCCAGATTTTTTAATGATCGCCATTCTAACTGGCGTGAGATGGTATCTCAATGTAGTTTTGATTTGCATTTCTCTGATGACCAGTGATGATGAGCATTTTTTCATATGTTTGTTGGCCTCACGTATGTCTTCTTTTGTAAAGTGTCTGTTCATATCCTTTGCCCACTTTTGAATGGGCTTGTTAGTTTTTTTCTTGTAAATCTGTTTTAGTTCTTTGTAAATTCTGGATATCAGCCCTTTGTCAGATGGGTAAACTGCAAACATTTTTTCCCAATCTGTTGGTTGCCGATTCACTCTAATGATTGTTTCTTTTGCTGTGCAGAAGCTGTGGAGTTTGATTAGGTCCCATTTGTCTATTTTGGCTTTTGTTGTCAATGCTTTTGGTGTTTTGGTCATGAAGTCTTTGCCTACACCTACGTCCTGAATGGTTTTGCCTAGATTTTCTTCTAGGGTTTTTATGGTGTTAGGTCTTATGTTTAAGTCTTTAATCCATCTGGAGTTAATTTTAGTGTAAGGTGTCAGGAAGGGGTCCAGTTTCTGCTTTCTGCACATGGCTAGCCAGCTTTCCCAACACCATTTATTGAACAGGGAATCCTTTCCCCATTGCTTGTTTTTGTCAGGTTTGTCAAAGATCAGATGGTTGTAGATATGTTGTGTTGCCTCCGAGACCTCTGTTCTGTTCCATTGGTCTATATCTCTGTTTTGGTACCAGTACCATGCTGTTTTGATTACTGTAGCCTTGTAGTATAGTTTGAAGTCTGGTAGTGTGTTGCCCCCCGCTTTGTTCTTTTTGCTTAGAATTGACTTGGCTATGCGGGTTCTCTTTTGGTTCCATATGAAGTTTAAGGTGGTTTTTTCCAGTTCTGCAAAGAAGGTCATTGGTAGCTTGATGGGGATAGCATTGAATCTGTAAATTACTTTGGGCAGTATGGCCATTTTCACGATATTGATTCTTCCTAACCATGAACATAGAATGTTTCTCCATCTGTTTGTGTCCTCTCTTATTTTGTTGAGCAGTGGCTTGTAGTTCTCCTTGAAGAGGTCCTTTACATTCTTTGTTAGTTGTATTCCTAGGTATTTTATTCTCTTTGTGGCAATTGTGAATGGAAGTTTGTTCTTGATTTGGCTCTCTTTAAGTCTGTTATTGGTTTATAGGAATGCATGTGATTTTTGCACATTGATTTTGTATCCTGAGACTTTGCTGAACTTGCTTATCAGTTTCAGGAGGTTTGGGGCTGAGACGATGGGGTCTTCTAGATATACAATCATGTCGTCTGCAAAGAGAGACAATTTGACTTCCTCCTTTCCTATTTGAATGCCGTTTATTTCTTTTTCTTGCCTGACTGCTCTGGCTAGAACTTCTAATACTATATTGAATAGCAGTGGTGAGAGAGGGCATCCTTGTCTGGTGCCACATTTCAAGGGGAATGCTTCCAGTTTTTGCCCATTCAGTATGATATTGGCTGTTGGTTTGTCATAAATAGCTTTTATTATTTTGAGATACGTTCCATCGATACCTAGCTTATTGAGGGTTTTTACCATAAAGGGCTGTTGAATTTTGTCAAAGGCCTTCTCTGCATCAATTGAGATAGTCATGTGGTTTTTGTCTTTGGTTCTGTTTATGTGGTGAATTATGTTTATAGACTTGCGTATGTTGAACCAGCCTTGCATCCCCGAGATGAAGCCTACTTGATCATGGTGGATAAGCTTTTTGATGTGCTGTTGCAATCGGCTTGTCAGTATTTTATTGAAGATTTTTGCATCTATGTTCATCATGGATATTGGCCTGAAGTTTTCTTTTCTTGTTGAGTCTCTGCTGGGTTTTGGAATCAGGATGATGTTGGTCTCATAAAATGATTTGGGAAGAATTCCCTCTTTTTGTATTGTTTGGAATAGTTTCAGAAGAAATGGTACCAGCTCCTCTTTGTATGTCTGGTAGAATTCAGCTGTGAACCTGTCTGGACCTGGGCTTTTTTTGCGTGGTAAGCTCTTAATTGCTGCCTGAACTTCAGACCTTGTTATGGGTCTGTTCAGGGTTTCGGCTTCTTCCTGGTTTAGGCTTGGCAGGAGGCAAGTGTCCAGGAATTTATCCATTTCTTCCAGGTTTATTAGTTTGTGTGCATAGAGTTGTTTGTAATAATCTCTGTCGATGGTTTGAATTTCTGTAGAATCTGTGGTGATATCCCCTTTATCGTTTTTTATTGCATCAATTTGGTTATTCTCTCTTTTCTTTTTTATTAATCTGGCTAGCGGTCTGTCTATTTTGTTGATCTTTTCAAAAAACCAGCTCCTGGATTTATTGATTTTTTGAAGGGTTTTTTGTGTCTCTATCTCCTTCAGTTCTGCTCTGATCTTAGCTATTTCTTGTCTTCTGCTAGACTTTGAGTTTTTTTGATCTTGCTCCTCTAGCTCTTTCAGTTTTGACGATAGGGTGTCAATTTTTGATCTCTCCTTGCTTCTCATGTGGGCACTTATTGCTATATATTTTCCTCTAGAGACTGCTTTAAATGTGTCCCAGAGAT